CCCCAATTAAATAGAGAAATTATTAGTTGTTAAAAAAAATATTAATTAGTTACTTTTTACTGTGGTATATGTATTTTCGTGAATATTTTGTGATTAAATTTATTTATTATTTTTATCCGATTTAGATTATTTATTTACTTAAAGACTAGTAAAATAGATAAATTGTTACTTTAGTTTCCTCTAGTGGTATCTTGTGGCCTAATGTAGTGCCCTTTAGCATAGTATCCTTGTAGTTATTGAAATTAATTATTTAAGTATCTATTATACCCAAAAATACGTCAAAAAAGCTGATAATTCAAACACAAACTCTGTCCAATTTTAGTCAACAATCGTAAGAAAATAACATGAGAAAACAAAAATATTTCCTGGACTAAGTATGAGAAAACAATAATATTTTCAGGATACCTTGGTGCTACTGGGCCTCAAATATCGAGCCCGGAACTCATATGTGAATATTTAATAATTAAATCTTGTATAATTATGAAAATTAATTATTTAATTTTATTATAGTCAAAAATAAGTGAGTCATAAATAAAAATATATAATAATAAAACTAACATATAAAATAATAAAATTAACATATAAATTAATAAAACTAACATATACAATATTAAACTAATATATAAATAATAAACTAACATTTAAAATAACAGAGATGTTGAGTGATAAATCGAGATAATTTTCTCATCATGAACACAAGAATTCAGGATATCTTGGTGCAACTGGGCCTCAAATATCGAGCCCGGAACCCATATGTGAATATTTAATAATTAAATCTTGTATAATTATGAAAAATAATTATTTAATTTTATTATAGTAAAAATAAGTGAGTCATAAACAAAAATATATAATAATAAAACTAACATATAAAATAATAAAACTAACATATAAATTAATAAAACTAACATATATAATATTAAACTAACATATAAATAATAAACTAACATTTAAAATAACAGACATGTTGAGTGATAAATCGAGATAATTTTCTCATCATGAACACAAGAATTCAGGATATCTTGGTGTTACTAGGTCTCAAATATCGAGCCTGGAACTCATATGTGAATATTTAATAATTAAATCTTGTTTAATTATGAAAATTAATTATTTAATTTACAAACAAACATATAAAATAATAATGAGTTACTCAAGTTGTTTGGGCAATTGAGTCAGGACAAGACGTTCAAGTTGCTCGTTTTCACTGCACAATCAACAAAATAATGAGTTACTCAAATTGACAAATACTTTACATATAGCTATATCACTTCACTTACAAATCGTAATGTGTTGACATCTCATGATGGACATTAACCTGTTGGTGATGACTCCCAGATGGACCACCATGATCCAACACACCAGAACTACGCATATTTCAACTGGATGTTGGTTCATAACTTGTAAAATTCATATTTGGCCGGTACCCCCTGTGGAATATATGAGTGTTAATACAAATTCAATACAGCAAAAATAAACATCGTAACACAAAGAAAAA